TGCCTACATAATCTTTCCTCTATTTTGTTTGCCAGCTATCAACCTTAAAGGTGTTAGCTACTGTTGCTTACTTAGCTTACCAAACATGTTCCTTATTAGCAATAGCCATAGTCGAATTTTGAAGTTTTTGACAGGTGCCTCTTATGTGTCTTTGTAAGTAGTAGTGGGAACAAAATGAAGTATTTGATTCCATTACTATGTTTTACCAGAATCCTTTAGATCTATCTAGGCCTACTGAAATCCAAACCTTAGGAGGAATATGGGCAATTAAATTAACTTCCACACAGACCCGAGCATACATGGGATGAGAGCCATTCGATGTGCGCTCGTCTAGTCGAAGGAATTTACCAAATAGATGCATAATTTCCTATAAAAAAGCTAGGGGAAGAAGGAGAGATGAAGACCTGGAAGTTTAATCCAAAGCAACCATAGTGGATTCATATTTTGGGTTAAAAGATTCATCCCATCTGAACAATCTAAACATAGAGTTTTCTATCATGTGAGAATCCTGTGTCCAAGCCTTGACAAAATCCTCCTTCGAAAACACTCTGGTGAGGACATGGTAAGGATCTATCAATCTCATTATTGGATTATCCTTCAAACCCCAATTGGTTTGGATGTAAGCTCTTATTGTTTTGATGGGTAGGCATCCTCTTGAGAATGTAGCTATTGAGGAGAACTCAAATATCTTGGATGATTGTTGTAGCTCTGTAAAGGAGAACTTAATAGCTGAAGGCCCCTCATATGTTGACGGTGGTTTAGGGTTGGTGGTGACGGCTAGGAATGAGGAGACCAAAGCTAATGGTTTATTTGCAGCAACGGCTGCATATGAAAAGCTAAGGTTTTTTAGTTTGGGTATATTTTGTATGGATAACTGTGAAGAGGAAGATGGGCTTAGGAGTGGGAAGGCAGGTGGCTGTGAAAAGGGAGATGGATTTATGGGTGGAAAGGCATTAATGTTTGCTGGAGTTTGTTAGCAAGATGGGGTCTCCCCTATGGGGGAAGCCTTCAGCGAGCTTGGCGGCGGCCTAAGAAACAAAGAGGCACCCCAGAAGAGAGAGACCTATTTTTTGCTTTGGTAAATCATGCCCAATCAAAAAAAAAAAAAAAAAAAAAAAAAAAAAAAAAAGACAATTAAAACAATTGAAAATTAAGCAGAAAATTAAATAAATTCAGAATAAATGGTAAATGAAATTTAAAAATTACGAAACTTTAAACACAAGTTAAATAACACACATAAAAACTTAAAGCCAAAATGAGCAAGAAAACCTTATTAAAGTAAATCATAAAATATATATATATATATATATATATATATATATATTAGAGGCTCATCTGGCCCTCAATCCATTAGGCCCTTAGCCCAATTCAAAGCCCAACCCGTGGAGCCTCTATTTTTCCCTCTAGACTAGACTCAATCAAAACTCAGCCCAGCCCAAGTTTTAGCACACAAGCCTTCCTAAACCCAATTCTACCTGGCCTGTGGCCCATCCCTAGCCTGATTTCCTAAATAGGCTTCCTAACAATAGCTGGCTCTCACATTCAATAAGTACTTTTCTTGGAAGTTCATCTTCTCCTAAAGTTCCATCTAATTGGTAATTGATTTATTTCCTTATATCATGAGTTATAATTAGCATATCTAAATAAAAGTTCCTCATATGTGAACTTTTGAGAAAGAGAAATTAATTAAGGGCCTTGCTTAATTAAATCAATGAATCAAGGACTAATCATGGATTGTACTCAAAAAATGACTTGTATTATTATTATCATGAGAGAATGCATGCCTTTGAAGAAGAAGTACTTTATTCAAACCCAAAAAGGTTTCGCAAAGGCCAACCCTGCACCATATGATTGCTAAATACATGGAAGCAAATCAAATTATCACTCCCATTATCATTCGGTTGTTAGTACCCATCATCCTAACACCATTAGATTACATCATTTTTCCTTAATTAGTCTTTCAATCTTCTCTTCATTGATCAAGTGTTAATTAAAAAGGGATGATCTGAGCAATATAATACTTGGATTTCTTTTGGGTATCAATCTCTCCTCCTTTCCCTTTTTCTTGATTTCTTTTGGTTTTCTTTAGAATGCCAAAATTGAATGGCTATTCCCAAAGGCTTTAGAGCTTTCAATTTACTCTTTGTCAAATCCATAATTTTTCCTATTGAAATCCAGAATTCTTCCCCTTCAAATCTAGAATTCTCCTCATTCACATACTTCTCAGGGCCCTATTTATACATGATTTCCCTCCTTCCTCAGCCTTACGATCATCCTCCATCCATCCTGACCCTTCCCATTAAAACCAAACAACCTCAGACGCTGCTTCAATTTTATTATTATCCTCAGGCATTTTCAAAATAAAACTAGACGAGAGAGGACAATATGTGTGTGCAGGTTTTGGTATAGATGTTCTAGTACAATTGTGGAAGTGTTGAAGCGTGATTCCTGGCTGGTACAATTGCCAGCTAGGAATTTGTCTCATTGTAGAATTTGTCTTCTAGGTAGAAGATGATGAATAGAAAGGGAGGGCGATTTGGAGCTGCAGTGAACGACAGGTCGTTTGCAACACTTTCAAATTGGTCCTGTCGTTCGCTTCTCCTTTCAATTATCTTCCTCATGTATCGAAAGCATTATTTTGGTCACCAATTCATTCGAATTCTTACAATTATAACCCTGTTTCCCTTAATTTCCTCAATTGCACCCCTATATCCGTTGATTTCAGTTTCTGTTTCTTTCAATTGCACCCTTGTGTTCTTTGATTTCAGTTTCTGTTCTCTTTATCTGTTCAATTACACCCTTAATAATATTTTCCAAACAATTAACCTTGTTTTTTTATATTTTTCTTTCTCTTTCTCTCTCTTTTTATTTTTGATTGTTGATTTTTTTATAGGATAAAGGATAAATTATACTAAAAAATCTAAAAATTTAAATAAAACCAATAATAGTAATAATAATAATAATAGTATTAGTAGTGGTGGTGGCGGTAGTAGTAATAATAATAATAATAGTAATAGTAATGATAATAAATAAGAAAAAATAAATGTGCACATGTAAAATAAAATTTGTAAAAAATAAAAATAAAATTGAAATAAATAAAAAGGTAGGGCAAATTTTTAGTTATGAAATATCCGATGATGAAATAAATGTTAATTTTTTTTTAGAAAAAAAACACTTTAAATTTGGTATATAGTTTTTTTTTTTTTTTTTTTTTTTTTTTAATGAGATGGTAGGGTTATGAGAGCATCCTTGATAAACAATCTATATGAACATGAAAGTAGAATCATTTTTTTTAAAAAAATATATATATGATGAATTTTCTCAATTGTGAATGAAAATCCAGATCAAGCACAATGCTGTACTGTGCTGTTTTGAAAATGGTTACAAAGTACTTAAATATAGTGTGTATAATATAATATTTGTTTCTTTAAAAAAATTTAATTCAAAACAATGCCCATTATTAATTTGAGAGTAACATTATTGAAACACTAAATAAAAGTTCAAATTATTAATAATTTTATTATATATTATATTTGTTTTTTATTAGATTATATGACTAATATTTTATAAAAGTAAACGGGGGATTATTATAAATTTTAATATTACAATATATTGTAAAGTTTTAAAACTGTTTTGTCAACCGTTTTAATGAGCGATAGTCTAGTCCTAAAAGATGTCAAAAACAACATTTTTTAACCGTTACAAAATTGTGCTGTTTTAAATGGTTTTAATCTAAAATTTACTTACTTTCAAACGGTGTAATTTTTTTCCCCTATATATATGTCACTTTCTTTTGATAAATTGTGCACAACACTTTTTTTCACCAATATGTATGTCACTTTATTTCGAAAGATTGTGCACTACACTTTTCATATATTGCTTAAAAGAAGAAAAAATAGAATATATATATATATATATATATTTATTTTGTCTTCTTTATTCATCCACTAAAGAACAATATTAATGAAATACTAAGTAAAAGTTTAAGTCGTTGGTGTTCCTATTATATATTATGTTTATTTTCTTATTCGATTGTATGACTAATATTAAAAATTATAAAAAATAAAACATTTCTTTCAAAAAAGTACATTATATTGTTTTGAAACTATTTTTTCAACTTGTTTTAATCGACGATCTGTCCGGTTTAAGATGTTAAACGCAACTTTTTTTTGTTGTTAAATTTTTTTGTACGAGTTTTAAATGGTTTTAATCTAACATTTACTTGATTTCAAATGCTATAGTTTTTTTTCACCTATATGTCACTTTCTTTTGACAAATTTTACACAACACTTTTCATACATTGCTTAGAAGAAGAAAAAATAGACAATTTTTCTTATCTTCTTTATTTATCTACTAAAAAACATATTATTTATTTATTTATTTTTATATTACAAATTCGAGGAAGATTGGTACTATATTTTTAATAAAGCAAGTTTAATGTGTTGCATAATTTTTTTTTTTTTTTTATATAACGGACAATACTTTTTTTTCAAAAAAAAAAAAAAAAAAAAAAAAAAAAAAAAACCTATCAAGTTGTGCCTCCATATCCTTCCATTTCCAACACAGTCTCATGTAAACTATTCCAAAAACTTATTTTGTTAAGTAAAATGTGTACCCAAATGATGTTGGAAAAGTGGAATGGCCCTTCTAGATATTTCTATTTCAAAGGCAATTCTAACATTACAACTAACTACTATCACATCCAACTGAAAAAGCTATTAAATCCAACCTTGTCTCAGTCTGCATATTCTATTCTGAATGCCCTAACTGAGAAGCTAAGTAAAGTGGCGAGAACGTGGATGATTGATAGAGTTGGAAGAAAAGGCTAAGCTTGAGCATAGAGTTATGGACCAATCTATGAACTTTCTGAAGTACGTGGAGACGAACAATTCCAGCTGATAATCCCTAATTTTCAGCTAGGCAAAGCAAGTTGCACCAAATTCTAAATTCTAAAGAGGAAAGAAAGCCTTTTCTTCCCCTTTTTCCAAGACACAGAAGGCATGCGCATGATGGTGTTTGTAGGTGAAGACCACAAATGCGACACGCACGAGGAAGTGGAGCTTCATGACAAAACTAAGATTTTGACAGGAAAATCTCAAATCAAGAGGATTGCTCTGTTTCTTCTCATGCTCATGCAGATCATCCAAAGTAAACTTACAATTACCACGAACGAAGAGAAGATAAGAGAAGTGCTAGTCAGAAAAATCTGCGGCAACTTGGTCTTCCTTGTTCTATAAATGGGCACGTAGATCAAGACTTCAAAATAACTTCAAATCCAAGATTGAGTTTATACACTAATTCTTGCATTAATATCACTGCCATTGAAGCCATGGCCTTCAAATCATTTCTGTTTGTTTCCCTCTTAAGTGCTGCAATATGGGCAGCCCCAATGGCTGAAGCTCAGCTTGGGCTTATAGGCGGCCTTCTTGGTTTGATCCGCATCCAAGGGACTGTGTTTTGCACTGCCAATGGCAACATGGCTGCTAATGGCACAGCAACCCCTGTTTTTCCTAGTAAGTTAGCCCTGATCATATAGTTACCAATGCAGTTCCTTAATTGTTAGAAATTGCCACGAATCTCCATAAAATTTATTAGTGTCTATTCTTTCGATGACAATTATGTTTCTATTGCAAAGAAAAAACTTTAACTCTGGATCTTTTAGAATATATATATATATATATATGTTAATATACACGGCTATATGATTCTCCAAGCGAATCCAACTTTTTGGGTGATGGGCTTTCATCTTATAATTGGATGATCTTATTGTTTTTTTTTTTCCTGATTAAAGTAATAATTAAAAGAAAATTTTCACTTCAACATTCAAGCAACTCATAATTGCACATGCGGTTTTTTGTTTTTTTTTTTTTAATTAATTTTTTTTTCCTTGTAGATGCTCTTGTGCAGTTGCAATGTGGAGGAAATGTGGTTTCTACCTCAACCACTAACGGATCTGGACTTTTTTCAATTGTGTTGGATCCTCTAAATTTTATTCTTTCCTCATTACTGAGCAACTGCAACCTAAAGGTTGATACACCACTGACCAACTGCAACGCCAATTTGCCTGCTCTAGGTGGTCTGTTATCTTCCTTACAGTTCATTGGAAACACTTCTCTTGGAGCACTCTTGAGTGTTGCAAACATCATTCCTGCCGGATTCCGATTCGTGCCTTCAAATTAAGGAGATCAGTACTATGGCTAAAAGTGTTATATAAACTTGGCCATTGCTACTTATATGAATAACGTCGTTTCTATTATTCGTGTCTACTGTATTATTTCTCTTTGCTTGTCTATTTCTGCTAGTTCCAGCCCATTCGTTACGAAGAATGGATTATGTTGTGTAGTGTTTGTCTTGCGTCCAAGGAATAAAGGTCATGATTGACCATGTTTCATCTATATGTCCTCTTTAGTTTATGCTTAAATTTTCTTTGCCCTCCAAATTTAAAACAACGTTTCTCACTTTGCAGAAGCTCGAGTCATGTAATTGCACAGAGAAAGTAAAGCCTCGTGTCTTCATGAGTCAATCTCGGAAAATTCAAGGCTTTGGTTATTTATCTTGTGGTATATATATATAGTGGGCTTATTCACTTTTTCTCATTTGTGAAAGTTTTTATTAATACATATCTCGACTTATTAAAAGACAAAAGAAAGAAAGTTTCCAGCACACCAAATTTGTTTCATCACATGAAGCAACGAATACACGAATTGTAGCTTAAATCGTCTAATGAACTTTATGCAGTAGTGATGAAGAAGTACAACGAAGTCGTGTTTGTTGAATTTCGTTTCCTCAAATTTTGGAGTGCATCGGTGAAACGAATCCAAAGAAGAGTACTCGATGATTTAGTACAATATTGAAACTGCTTGTCTTAATTTGAGACATGCATCAGTTTTGTGTTTGTTTGTAATTGTTCTAAGAAAGTACTTATGCCCTATGTCGCGGGAACACTTTACTCAAGTTGACAATAACTGCATTACCAACGGTTAGATAATTCAATCCTTAAGTTAAATTTAAATAATAAAATTTAATAAAATAAATTGATCAGTTGATCATAATCAAACTGAAACTCAAAGTATTCTCAATCAAATTCTAACAATTTTTTTAATTGTAATATATTAATTTTATTTTTCACAAATTAGAACTTCTAATCTTTCAAACGTGACCATTATTTTACTTAGAAAATCGACTCAAATTATTTTTTTAATAATATATATGCAATATGACATATTAAAAGAATATGAGCTGAATGTTTGAAATATTAGAAGGTATCCAATGTCAAAGCATACGACTATGCGGAAGCAGTTTGACCAATAGATCGATTGGTACACTAGACAAATGGTGCAATTATGTACGGACTGCTCTAATGATCAGCACAACTTATTAGATTATCCTAATGTATTTAAGAAGTTTTTTTTTAGAGAGGAGACGAGAGATGCTCAACACATGATAGGGAGTTTAGTTTTCTATTTTGTATGATGGATTATACATACAAGAGATATTTATAGAAGATATTTTTTTACCTAATAAAGAGTTTGAATACTTTGTATATAAATCAAATATAATTCAAATATTAAATTTGAGTTGATCAATAGATAACTTATATATGTTTTTAGAAACATATACTAAGTCTTATTAGTGGATTCGGTTCAGAATGGTCCATCATGGGCGTAACGAATTGGACTAACTAAGGTCTATATTCCAACATCTCCTACTTGCATGTGATGGTTACATGCACACCATTTCTTTGAGACTCTCAAAAGTATCAAGTCATTAAAGCACCTCACATTAGGTTCATATGAGTCCATAAGTTATGCGACCAACATACTAATGGGCCTCGAGAACCTTAGTCCACACATCTGCTAGGAATATATGACAATTCTTTTCTCATAAAACACTATGTAAAGTAAGTATGATTCAACATGTAGCACTAAGTATCTCATGATCTCTTGATCTTTATAGATCATATCATGTACTCATAGCTATGTTTCGAGTAACATAGTTGGCTAGCCAATGAATATATGTAGATACAACATCAAAGTGGTCTTACTCTTTTTGTAAGAACTTTAATTTCTAGCTCGGTCGCTTTTCCGGATATGCTCTACTAGGTTAAATCAATCATGACATGTTGGCAGCATATAAAGCTAGTTAGAACAAAGTTAAAAGTTTGAGAACCATTGGAAAGTTGAAGGGCATTATTAATATTTATTAATCCCAAGGCCCACATTCATAAAGTAGAGATTAAAACTTTCTAATCGACAAGCGATGTTAGCATCCTAATTTTTACTCGCCTATTTTTAAATTTACGAGTTAAAAAAATACAAGGAAAGAGAAAAGAAAAAAAAGAGTTATTTAGAAAAAACAATGATGTTTGGGTTCAATTAAAAATAAAATAAGAAGTTTAGGAATAAAAAAAAAAACAATTGAGGGTGCAATTAAAAAATCTAAAACCCCAAATCCCTAATCAAGAGAAAGAAAGGGTAAAATTAGAACAAATCTAAAAAAAAAAAAAAAAGCCTGATTACGAGAAATCAGGGACCAAAATTGATTTTTGCCCAAAAGGCCCTAATTTCCACCTATAAGTACCCACCTCATTTTCATTTTTTTTTTTTTTTTAGGAAGGAGGGAGCACTATTCACTCATCTTTAAAAAAAATCCAGCAGCCATTTTTTTCCTTTTTTCTCCTATAAAACTCTAGCCCAATCTCCACTGTCTTCTCCTGGTCACCCATACCAAACAAACCATGCTAGCCTCATACACCGTAACCTAACCCAAAAACTCATCCATCGAAATACCCTTTTCCATTTCAACGACCCCAACATCCACCCTTCATCTTCTTCCTCTCTCCAGGGTCAGTCACCACCGTCATCTCTAACCGATCAGCACCATCCAAACACCACAGATCTCTCTCTTTCTCTGGACAATGGTTTTCCAAGTAAGTAGCATTTTGCATCTGCTCATCATCTTTTCACTTTTCTTCACTAGTTAACGCTGAGTCTAGAGGTTTAGTTTTTTTTTCATCAATGGCCAAACTCATAAATATCTGTGCACTCCATCACCAAACGATGTCATCTAGTCTAACTCCATCTCACTTTGAGAAGTTGGTGTTGTTTTTTCAGTATTGCCTGGTTTTACACCATTTGATGCACTTTCAACCGTTAGTTCATCGAAATTGAATAAGGTTCTCTTGCCTAATCCATTTAATGGGTCTCATCTGTTTTAATGCTTGAAGTCACTGTCATGACTAAAAAAGCAAAGGTTATGTTCAATGCTGCCTTGAAGAGCAAGATTGTTCCTGGTTTAGATAAGGCTAGCATTCGACTTTCATATGAAAAAGGTTTTAGTGGTTTCTCTAGGTGAAGAATTAGTAGATTTTACTGATAAGGAAATTGGTGATTTTTGCATCTTTGTTAGGCATATCATAAGTTATTGATCCCTTGAAATCTTTGAATGGAGAGTTAATAATCCTATTGGTTAGTGGTGCCACTACGAGTCTTCATATGTCCAAGAAATCAAACAGGAAGTTTATAACAAGTCTTCTAGCTTTACTTTACAATAGTAGAAAAGTAGTAAAGATATATAAAGATTTTTTATAGAGTATTCAACCACTTGTTGAGTTATTAATGGGCTGTTTTGATGGTCTTAAGGCTTTGAAAGAAAAATATGAACCCGAGGGTGTCGTGTAGAGAATGCTGGAGCTATTACTTACTATATTGTCTAAGATATTTGATTCACTACAAATAGCTTACAAAGGTTAAATTGTTAGAGTGATCATTTTCAACATAGCACCTACTCTAAAACCAAAAACAAAGCTGAATGTCATGTTGACTTCTCGCCCATCTACGTATTGGTTGGAAGAAACAAAAGCACTTACTGAAGAAACTATTGCAAAAATGGTCTTGTGAAATAGGAAACTGAATAGAATGGTCGGTCTATTGGTGAAAGAACAAGAAAATTGAACCGGATAGAACATTAAGCTAGACAGAAGAAAACTAAAAAGAGCTTAAGAACAATTGCTTCCTCCTTTTTGATTGATTGAAATAATTGATCTTCATTGAGATTCGAGAATGTAAAATTAATCCAAAAAAGTTATCATTAACACTCACAACAGTTGGGTAATCTTTGAACTTATCTAGACTACATAAAAATGACCAATGAAAATGATGGAAATGTTATGTTATTGATGATTAAATTATTGAATGCTTTTCTTGATTATGAATGATATAATTGCTATATTTACTACTATTTAAAGTCATTTTATAAAGTGCCCCCATCCTAGGACCTAGATAGATCGAAGATATTATCGACATTAACCTACATTCAACGTGCAATGAGTGCAAGCCAATAAGCCTCCTCTTTTATCTTAACTAATACATTAGCGAAAGTAGGCATTTACTACATTAGGTCCCTATGGAGTATAAGGTACTAGGTCCTCTTTAAACTTAACTTTGGGTATAATTTTTTTTCCTTTTCCGTAGGTTCTATTAAACTTTCTAATTTCATTTAGACCTCTTTTAATCATCTAACCATTTTATTTTTCTTTTGACCTTGCCCTTAACAGATCATACCTAATCCCTTTACCTATCATTTTGATTTGCAATCATTTTCATAATCCAATCAATTATATGATCCTAATCATATTAGTCATCTATGCTCTCATAAGCTACAACTAACACAATTGAGATAATAACAACTTAACCTTCAATTAACACTTTTATTTACACCACAATAATAATTATTTAATTGATCTACATTTATACCAAAAATGCCTAACTTGTTATATATATATATATATATATATATATATATATATATATATATATATATATATATATATATATATATCAAAAATCAAGCTAAGCATACATGATTCTCTATACTCACTAACCCAAACTAAAACGCACAAAAATGGTAAGTCCGCCACTTATCTCGATGGTGACCCTTCTTTTCTTTTTATCATTTCCTACGCCATAAGAAAAAAATAGTGAATAAAAGAATGCTCACTAAGTATAATTCATGTAATACATATGATGTCTTTTACACATGAATGCACATGATGCATCTTTTATAAAAATCTTTTTCATGCCTTTGAAACCATTTTCCTTTTTCTTTTTCTTTTCGGGTGCACTCTTTTCTTTATCATTTCTTCGACTGGGGCCTTTACCCAATTCCCTAATTGTCGAGGC